TTTATAATATGAATTTTTTTACTTTTCCGACAAGAATGTCGAGAAACCCCCATATGAATAATGTTAAATAATATTTAAAGATAAAATTTATTCAATCAAACTATGTATCAGTGATAGAAATATTTCTCGAAAATTGTATGGATCAAAGCAATATTGAACTCTAGTCTCGTTCAAGCAAACGCTCGGTTGACACTGTAAATCTCCGACAAGGATTTACAGAGACAGCCGAGCGTCGAGTTGAACGAGACTATATTGACCTCTGGCGTAGGAATACATACAACTACAAAAAATATTTAAATAGTTCGTACCATTTAAAATCGACTATTTTCAAGGTATTTAGAAATAAGTTTCCTTGAAAAACAATGCTTCAGCATACATTACATCGAATTTGTCAATTATTTTCAAGAACTAAGTCTTATCAGCAGCAATGATTTGTGCTGAGGTCCAAACACTGTTTCACTTTCGGTTTGTCTGAGTAACTGCATAGGAGAGTTGATTAAAATCAACTCCCAAAAATTAAAATTCAAATTTGTTTGTTTTCATGCATATTTTATTATTTAAGAGCATTTTATATAATAGAAAAAGAATTAAAATAAATTGTGCATGTGAAAAGAGGAACTGTTAAGACAATTAGCCATTTCTTATTACTTCCTGTCAAAATGGGGGCCACTTTCAAACCATCGTAATAAAGAGAAACATTTTCTTTTGAGCATTAACAAACAAAATAAAGACTAAACTGCTATTTCATTGTTAATGCAAGGTAAATTATTTCATTTCAAACTATTGACATACAGATCAGTCCACTAAAGTTTTAAACTTTTATTATGAAAATCAAATTATTAATGCAAATTCTTACATTGAAATTGACAACCAAAACTGAATAAATGATGTTATGTGATCGCGGTAACTTCACCAGAACTTCCTCATAAAAAGAAGTTGAAGTTATTCTGTCCTCTGAGTTCATGATCGTGTAAAGTTACTTCCTTGGCAAAAAAATGATAGTTGATTAATAAAAAGACATTTCTAATGCAAAATAGAAACTAAAACAATTATAAATTAACCAGTTGGCTATCCTCTATAGAACGATGGTAAGTGGGTCATTGGGTAGGACTTAGTCTAATACCCTAAATACACTGAAGTAAAGTGACAGATTTTTATTTGTCACTTAGCTTACAAATGATGAGATATTTCCTTTATTAGAGATATAAATACATTAAATAAATCAAATTTCAACCCAGAAAAGCTTTTTATTTTTTATTTTAAAATAGTTAGATTTTTTATTAGCTGTTGTGGACATACTTCTAGTGTTGTTACGATAGTCGCAGACTATCGAAAAATTGTCGCTGAAGGCAGCAGGTCGGCGACAATCGTTAGTAAGTCTTTATCATCGATAGTCGCTAAAAATTTAGTAATGTGACAGATAACCTTTTATTGCGTAGCAATATTCATAAAACGACCAACCTAAGGGGCGACTTGCTTTGTGATCTGTAACTTTGCCAGAATTTCCTCCGAAAGAGAAGTTGAAGTCGCCCAGTATGCTGAGTTTACAATCGTGTTAATTCAACCCAAAGGCAATAAAATGATAATTATCAAATTCGTAAGACGTTTTCACAAGCTTATTTAACCCCTTTTGCGATTAGGAACTAGCGACTGTCTTGTCTTAATGGGTTATAAAAACGAGGGATACTAACTGATACTGTGCATTGAAAATTACAACTGATGTCTATTACTTTTCATGCTGATATTACAATTACAGTTTGAAAATTCTAATTAGTTAATACTGTCAAATTATTGCTAAAATATTCATAAAACCATGTTTTACAGCTGTCTTCAAACTTAAACAGATCCGCTACATAACGATTGTAATTGGGTCAAAGGGTTGCACTAATGCCTCCAAAATACGCAGAAGTACAAGGACTGATTTTATTTGTCATTTTACTCACAGAATTACAAAACGTTTAAAGTATAAAATGTGTAAATGTATCAGATCAATAAAGTTTAACAAATTTGATAAGTGTTTAAAAAATTTTGAAGTGGTTATATTTTTATTTACTAGCTTGCTTCTAATCCAATTTAAATTAAAATTTTGCCCTAGGTTGGTCCCTAAGTATAATATTTAATTCATTTCATTGACAAGATAAGTTCATAAAAAATTATGAATTATAAATTTAAAAAAAGGTATTTTATTTGATGCTGGTATCTTTCACTCATAAACAGAATGAAAAAAAATTAATCATTGTTGGAATTTGAAAGTTTACATGATCGATTTTATAATCGATTGTAAGCTGCCGTTTCAATTCGATTATCGATAGTAAAATTGGTCCGATTTTACAGCACTACATACAGCAAAACTCGGTTATAACGAAGTCACTGGGACCTAGGAATTTACTTCGTTATATCCGTAATTCGTTATAACCGTATAAGAAATTCATTAAATTTACATAGTTGGGGATCCAAGATGACTTCGTTATATCCGTAAATTTGCAATATCCGTGTTCGTAGTAAACGAGTGTTACTGTACTTCTAATCCAATTTACAAGTATTTAAGTATAGTCTATCCCAAAATATTAAACAATATTTTAAATTTAAGTTTTGAATTTGTGAATTGTTAACTTAATAAAATGAAGTCTCCCTGATTTAATTCTCAAACTTCTTTCTATATATATTTTTTTGTTGGTGAGAAGTAAAATCTTCCTACAAACAAGAGGCCCATGGGCCACATCGCTCACCTGTGGAACAATAGGTATGATAAAATCAGCTTAATGGACTCATAATACAAACTATCTGGAGATGTACAATAATACATGTAGATCCTGTATTAATAAAATCCATTTTCCCCCCTCGATATTCTTATGTTAATAATCATTAGTCCCTTTTCTAACAGGTTGACTTTATAGTCATATCACATGTTGAGTATTGCAGTTCTCAAAAAAATCCTTAACAATTGTTTATATATGGGATATAAACCTACATCAAATTCTGATGTGAAGCCGAAGAATTGTCCTGGAGCCAAAGTTTAAACAATTATAAAGAATCATCTGGCTGATTATTTTCTGTGAGGAAGATTTTTAAATATTTACTCTATATATTCCTATGTTAAGTTTTGACCCCCAATTGTGACCCCACCCTACCCCCGGGGTCATGATTTTCAGAACTTTGAATCAACACTACCTGAGGATGCTTCCACACAAGTTTCTGCTTTCCTGGCTGATTAGTTTTTGAGAAGAAGATTTTTAAAGATTTACTCTATATATTCCTATGTTAAACTTTAACACCCCTTCATTGTGGCCCCACACTGCCCCCTGGTGGTCACGATTTTCACAACTTTGAATCTACACTACCTGAGGATGCTTCCACACAAGATTCACATACCTGTTAACCTTTCAAAGCTGCTATGTGGGAGAATCTCCCCCTTACCAACTTGGCTAAGGGGGAGATTTTTCGTAAACGACGTTTTTTCATGTGAAATGCAAATATATATTAAAAATACTTTTAGATACCTTATTTTACCATTGTAATTAATGCATTTGCAATCGTTTTAAATTTTATTATTTCTATGACTACCAGTGTGCAATTACAACTTGTGTTGCTATACATGTTCAGAAAACTATTATTTTGTTTGCATGGTACAATACAAGAAGTCAATAGTGCCACTTTTTATATTAAGTCTTCTTATTGTTCAGTATTGAACCATCACTGCATGCTGACATCTAGGGTAAACACAGAAAATTTATTTTGCGTATTTTGAATTTGCAGTAAAAGTCAGTTAAGAAAATACCAGTAAATAATATTCATTAAAATTATTTTTTTGCCTTATAGGCCTATATAAGATAGATTTTAAATTCACAAAACATGTATTTATCCAGTATCATTTAAAAATGATCTCTGTTGTAATATCTATAGCATCCCTGTAATTCATAGTACTGGTACTATAAAGTTTAAAAACTCTTGTGAAACACTTTTTTATCGGTAGCTTGTATAAACACTCAGTGTTCCAAACTCACTTTGATTTTTACCGACCGTGCTGGCCAGACAGAATTTGTCACGACTCACTGCACATGGCTTGGGTGCTTTACCTGTGCACCTGTTAACCCTTTGTGTGCGGCGACCCAACATGTTGGGTTTGGAATAGTCGACGTTCTCGTGCGGCAACCCAACATGTTGGGTTTGAGAAAGAATTCAGCACGTCGTCACTTTAACCTCAAATAAAATAAAAACGATCGAGTATTTTGCTCGTGAATGAATGAAATTAGAGAAAATAAATGATTTATGTTTAAATATAAAATTATAAGCTTAGTTTTTTAAAAGGATATACGTTAAACGATGAATTTAAATTCGTCATCTAATTTTGGAAATAGGGAAATTCCGCGCCATTGTTAATCTCGAAAACAATCGGTCAATCTAAACTTGCATCAAAGAAAACAAATTCAATAACATATATAATCAAGAGAAAACATTATTTTGATAAAAAAGTAAAAGATTAATTTAGTTAATGTACAATAAAAAAAAACGAAAAAAGCAAAAACCTTCCTAACAATGACCTTAACCTTGCATATTTCTTCCGGTGAAAACGAAAGTTGAAGGCTTAACAATCATCTATCTGTGTTTAATTGCTATATTCTCGCTAAAAATGATAATTTTTAAATGATTTATTGCTTTGGAATACTGTGTGTACATGTAATTGTTTCATTTTACTGTAAGTACGACATGTGCCTTCAGGATAATCATAAACATTATCGCGCGAGACATCTCCAGGCAGAAAACGCTATTCATTTATGATACATGTTACCAATGTTTTAAAATAAGGGTTTAATTAGAACTCTCTGACCTTTTTCATTATTTTTTATACTATTTTAATTGAAAAGCTGTTATTTATGACAATATTTGTTAAATTTAGTATAAACACAACAAAAATGTTGAAAGTGTTGCTACTATACAGTAATGTTGCTATGCATACGTAAATACCTCTCTTCTGAACGTGCTGAGCAGAAGATAATTTAATGGCGACAGCAAGGAATTTCGATTTTGAAGAATTTTTGAATGAGTTTGCAGCAGATGAGGACAGTGATTTTGAATTTGAGGGTTTTGATTTAGATGACATTACAGTGAGTAGGCCAACAGAAAACTTTGAAAACTTTATAGATGCAGACAATTGGGTGGCAGGAGACAGGGAGCCCCCATCCCTTGACTATACAAAAACTCCTGGATTAAAACAAGCAGTTCACAACAAAGATTCCCCTCGAGAATATTTTGAACTATTTTTTAATGACAATGATTTTGAATTTCTTGCACAACAAACCAATCTGTATGCACAACAGTTCTTGAGATCTGCTCAGTTGAAACCTTGTAGTAGGTTCCATAAATGGCATGAAACAAATCGCTCAGAAATGAAGCAATTTATATCACTCCTCATGCTGATGGGACTTGTGCATCAGCTAGACATCAAGGAGTACTGGACAACCGATCCACTGACTACTACACCCTTTTTTCCCAGCGTCATGCCAAGGGACAGGTTTTTGTCATTGATGACTTTCTTGCATCTAAATGACAATTCGGAATTTGTGCCACGTGGAGAAGAGGGCTATGATCCTCTCTTTAAACTGGGTCCCTTGTTTCAAAAGATTTTGGACAGGTAAAAGAATGTATTGCATGTAAAAAGTCTGATTATATAGAACTTTATTATACCAACCAGAAATGAAATTTGGGATGTTTAAGAATCACCTTGCCTATCTGTCTCTATATTTGTCCAGACCAGTTCTTTATTCTGTCCAAAATTTCTGCTACCACTATTATTTGTATGATAATTAGATAATCATAAAAAATTATATATTTTTGCCCTACTGGTAGATAAAAATGCTCAAATCAAAGCAATACGGTTGCTGAAATACTGAATACAGGGTTATTTTTGCCCAGTGTAATTTTTTGCCCTATTACACTTGGAAACAGTTTCCCCCGTCTTGAGTTTGCCCAGACACAGTTGTGTTTAAAGAGAGATATTATGAGACATTAGAATTCACCAAGTTTTAAATTTGCTGACAACAAGGGTGAAAAGGGCAAAAATAAAAAAGAGGCGAATACAGTAAAACTCGTTTAGTACGAACACGGATATTGCGAATTTACGGATATAACGAAGTCATCTTGGATCCCCAGCTATGTAAATTTAATGAATTTCTTATACGGTTATAACGAATTACGGATATAACGAAGTAATTTCTTAGGTCCCATTGACTTCGTTATAACCGAGTTTTGCTGTATTTCCCTGTATACAGTAGATACTGATTCCATGAATATATTTTTCCTTACTTGATTCTTCCAAGGTTTGACACAGTGTATCAGCCCCATCAAAATTTATGCATTGATGAAGGCATGGTTCCATGGAGAGGAAATCTACACTTCCGAGTGTACAGCCCAGATAAGCCAGACAAGTATGGGCTTAAAGCATACATACTTTGTGATGCGGAAAATGGGTATTGTATGAAAATGAAGTTGTACACAGGGAAACCTTCAGTACCCCCCAGTGACAAAGGTGCGACTTACGACTTAGTTATGTCACTTTTACGGAACCACTATGCTTGTGGACACATTCTGTACTGCGACAACTATTATTCGAGTCCACAGCTATTCATGGATCTATGGTGTCTTGGAGTAGGTGCCACTGGCACAGTTCGTCCTAATCGTCGTGGGATACCCCAAGAGATTAAAGAGGTCTCCAAACTATGTTCAACTAGTCATTGTAGCATTCTACTTTCTTATTTTGTATAGACTAATTTCCTCTTAAACATTTCTTTTGGGCTCTATTGATCTGATATGGTTAAAAATTAAACCAAACTTAACCAATATATAGTTTAAGGGTCCTCGACACACTGTGACTTCTACTTTTTATAACAGTATGTCACAACATGGCCATTAAAATGCATTGAGAAACAATTTATATCACCAAAATTTGGTGTCTCTATGGCAGGTTAAGTTTTGGTCTACCAACCCGCAGGTCCTGAGATTGAATACTGAAGGGACTTTTATTTTCAGGAAGAGTGGTAAAATTTTAAATTGAAAGATTTTTTGGTCATTTTGAAATTAAATTAAGACATGCTAAAAATCCATATCTTTAAGGGGCCTCACTACGCCTTAATCGAAATAGTTTCTCAAATCAGCAGAAAATTACTTGATTATGATAGAAAGCATGATGGATAAGAAGTATATATCAAATAGGTGAAAAAATGTGCAATTTTAGATAAAAAATGGTATTTTCAAAAATTTCATTTAGTAAACACAAGCATTCTGAGAGTATTGCATAAGCAATACACGTCCCCTACCGGTTTGTATTATTCTATGAAAACTTCCAAGCACACAACTATTTCAGAGCTATTGTAAACGAGATGCCATATGCTTTAATCAGAGATAAAAGAACAGAGGAAATTAAAACTATGTAGTTGATATAGAAATTAAATAGGAAATAGGTAAAATAATACTCTTTATTTCATCTCCTGTAATTTCGCCAAGTCTATTCTGTATTCGCTGGTAAAAATTTGTGAAAACAATGCACTGTTATGCACAATATCATTTCTTACCGTCTTCTGTACCCCGAATCAAACCAAACAGTTAAACAGCTCAACCCGCCCAACCCGAACCCGATTGTAATAATAATACAAAAAAACCCTGCCTATTAAATTTACAACACAATGCTTGACACTATTTTATAGAATTCATTTGTTTGTTAGAAAAGATAAAAGGAATGGTACAGGAAAAGGAATGGTACAAGTGACGCACGATATTATTACTGACTAAATACTGACCTCGTTTATTCAGTTACACACCGAACCCGATAACGAACATTAAAAAATTGGAATATAAAAAATTAATTTTCTCGAAAATATGTCAATCAGACACTACAAAAGTGTAAACTTGATCTGTAGTTTGACATTTTGAAGCTGTTCAGCAAGTTTCATATTATTCCTCAAATGCATTAAGAAAAAAAGTGTGGAAAACTGAAGTGGGACAGACAGACGGACTGACGGACGGACAGACAGACGGACGGACGGACGGACGGACAGACGGACGCAGCGGAAAGCTATAGTCCCCTCCGGTGAAACCGGTAGGGGACTAATAAACAAAAGCTCAAGAAGGATTCGAACTCATGACCTGCGGTTCACAAGCCTGAAACTTTAACCACTGAGCTATGATGATATACATCTGAATCGATTGATACAAACAGTTTAACAAAACATTTAAATCGCCATCTTGTGATGTACGTAGTGTCTCAAAAAGTATAAGTCTCGGTGTAGTGAAGTACCTTTAAGTTAAGTAATTTAGAAGAATGAGTCTGCATTCAGAACTTTTCCCAGGTGTGGGGAGGACCCTTAATTTATTGATAAGCAGTTTTAAAATGCATGAATTGTATTCACTTTCCAATCATGCATATGGAAAGTAGAATGTATCAAGGACTCTTGAATTGATCTTCAATTTACAATTGAAATTTATGAATGCACAGTAATATTTAATCACTCAAGAAAAAATATATCTGTTTATTCTTTTAAATAATTCATAATTCAAAAATATGATGTACAATACGCAGCTTATGATACCTAATATCAAAACCTGCTCGTCTCGGTTCCAGGACTCCATGAATCATTAACATACAGTTAAACTTTGATATCTCGAACACTGATATCTTGAATACAATGGATATGTCGAAGTGATTTGTAAGTCCCAACTACTTATTTTTTAAGTATTTTACTCTTGATATCTCAAAGTACTTTGATATCTCGAAGTTTTTAAACAGTCCCATCTAGTAGTTAGAGATAACGAAGTTTGACTGTATTATATAAATGATCCACTATTCTGAATACTGACCTCACCTTCATCTACAATAATTCATAATGTGCAGTTCATCAAATCCTTTTAAGGATAAATTAAATTTCAGATCCATCTTGAGAACAGAGGGGAGGTGAAAGTGCTTTCAAATGGCCCCCTTAGTGTTACTAAATACCAGGATGCTAAACCTGTTTACCTTATAAGCACTGTAGAAAAATCAACCTTGGTGACCACAGGAAAGAGAAATCACAGAAATGAGGAGGTAGTGAAGCCACTTGTGGTTCACAGATACAACAGCAACATGGGAGCAGTGGACAGGCTTGATATGGTTGTATCGGCTTCAAAGCTGCCTGTCAAAACTTTGAAATGGTGGAAAAAAGTCTTTTTTCACATTTTGACACTCATAGTTTCAAATGCATATGTGCTTTACAAGGATAACTGTGAAGATCAGACTCCCCTAAACCACAGGCTGTTTCGGAGAAGACTGATCCATGAGCTTCTCAGCAACTCTGGTGGTAATGTTTAATGCATTGAAATGCACAAACAATATAATAATAATAATAATTTTATTGGCAACTGTATGATAGCTTTATCATACATGCTTGGCCATTTATTCAAGTTCCATAAGATGTGCTTTGGTCACAAAGTAAGATTAAAAATATTATTTATAGAGTTCCACACAAAAGTAACGGGCAGACCTGCAGCTGGCAAGTCCCTGGAGAGGCTTAGTGGTCGCCACTTTTTAAGAAAAATTGTTGCAACCAAGACTGTCTGCAGACTCTGTATTGTATGCAGCAAAGCTTGCAGACAAGCTGAAGGGAGGAAAAGGCCAGGAAGGCAGATATCGTATGAATGTGGCCAATGCAATGTGGCATTGTGCATAGAGCCATGTTTCGAGATTTACCACACCAAACAGGACTACGTACTAGCCTATAAGAGGCTCTTAACCCAGCCCACTGAGGAGTGAACTTGCAACACTATTTGAATGTCCACATTTTATCAAAATTCATTGACATTTAAATTTCATACATTTAACGCATGCATTGTAATTAATTGTTCGAATTGATTTCTGATCTTTTAACAGCAATTCTTTTTTATTCTCTTGATTTAATTTCTCAAAAGTACTTGTACTATATTTTTACAAAAATTATTTGTGGGAAACTTTGATTTTATCCCTATAATTAAACATTGAATATAAAAAAAATCAAAAAATCTTCATTTTACTTAAATTTTGTTGCCATGGTTACCAGGAAATATGCCTAAATGTAAAAAAAAAAACAGCTTGAATTATTTATATTAGAGAAAGCTGATATTAAACATTTTCTGTGACAAATTTCAACAGTATAAGTTAACAATTAATGAAATAAATACACGTCAACTATGCTATGCCAATAAACTTGCTAAAGTTCTTAAACAACTCAGTACTGGGTCATAAGTTGCGTTAAAACAAGTCAGCACACAAAGGGTTAAGTGACACCACTGGCTGTGTACTGTTTTCTTTGGTGTTACAGAGTAAAATCAATATGTTTTAAGCTTTCACTTATTTTTTTATAAGGCCTATGCATCACTAAATACGTAACTAATTTCAGTCAAAACCGGAAGTAATCATAAAAAGTAAACTGGACTATAACATGTCATACTATTTTCACGGTATACAGTACTTGGATGGATTTTAACAAATACGATTGCGGGAGAAATTTGTCTCCCGCGCGGGAGATTGGTTGCATGCGGAAGATCTTAGATTTTTAGGCTGTTTTGCGGGAGTCTCCCACGCAATGCGGGAGGGTTAACAGGTATGGATTCAGCTTTCCTGGCTGATTAGTTTCTGAGAAGAAGATTTTTAAAGATTTACTCTATATATTCCTATGTAAAACTTTAAGGTATTCAATGTATAACGCCCACATTTTGTACCTAATAAATGAATGGTCCGATATTCTTAATCATGATATCATTTTGAAGGTGTTATCAAATAAAAGTACTCCACCAAAGGAATTTTCAAAATTTTGATTATGGTCCAACTAATTACACCTGGAATTTTGCATTGAAGTGTATGGGCAACGTATGTTTTCTTAAGATACTGTAAAAAGTAACTTAAAATTCGCAAAACTCTCTTGGTTAATACATGCATACACTTTCTCTTTATTAAAATATGAAATAAAATGAATCATTTACCGCAAATATTGTTACGAAGTTAAAAGTTTCTTTTCTTTCGTCAAGGGGAGATAACTCTTTAAAAAAAATTAGGTGCAAAATGACCGGCTCCTTATATGTTGTCTGTCATGTGAATTTGGTTCATTTCACTTTGATAGTTATCTAGCAATAAATATTTAACTAGTTTAAAATGATTCAAAATTGTTCAATATCCCCCCATTATACATTGAATACCTTAACACCCCCCCCCCAATGTGGCCTCACCTCACCCCCAGGGATCATGATTTTCACAACTTTCAATCTACACTACCTGAGGATGCTTCCACACAAGTTTCAGCTTCTCTGGCTGATTAGTTTCTGAGAAGAAGATTTTTAAAGATTTACTCTATATATTCCTATGTTAAACTTTAACACTTCTTCATTGTGGCCCCATCCAACCCTGGGGCCCACTATTTTCACAACTTTGAATCTACACTACCTGAAGATGCTTCCACACAAGATTCTGCTTTCCTGGCTAATTAGTTTCTGAGAAGAAGATTTAAAAAAAGATTTACTCTATATATTCCTATGTAAAACTTTGACTCTCCATTGTTGCCCCATTCTACCCCACGGGTCATGATTTTCACAACTTTGAATCTACACTACCTGCAGATGCTTCCACACAAGTTTCAGCTTTCCTGGCTTAATGGTTCTTGAGAAGATTTTTGAAACTTTCTCGAAATTTTTCATTAATTTCTTATTACCCAGTACCTCCCCTTGAAATAGGGAGTGGCCCTTAATTTTCACAACTTTTAACCCCCTTTGCCTATGGATGGTTTGTGCCAAGTTTGGTTGAAATTGGCCCTGTAGTTCTTGAGAAGATGTTGAAAATGTGAAAAGTTTATGGATGGACAGACGGATGAAACAAAATGTGATCAGAAAAGCTCACTTGAGCTTTCAGATCAGGTGGGCTAAAAATTGTGACCCAGTAAAAATATTTTAAATATAATATATTTTGTAGTGGAAATGATGATGATGATGATGAAGGAAAATGAAATAAATTCAATAAAGTAGAAGAAAACACATGTTTATGTTCAAATTAATTGCATTTAAGAAGCATGCATAGTATGGAGTAAATCAATTCAACAAAAATTCCAACATTTATGAGGGCCCACCAGAACTTGTGAAAGTCCACCAAAACTTCTTGACCAGTGGACCTACTGTCCACCGAAAGAAAAAAAAGTTAGTGTCAAACCCTGTTAAGTCAAGTTACTTTGTAAGGAAATCATAGCTTAATAGGTTAACAGCAGTTACTTCATACCAGGTACATGTATAACCAATAAATTGTCAGTATGAAATATCAAACATTTATGGCACAGATTCAGCATCCAAACCTGTCCAGTGCATAAACATCTTAGGATAGGATGCACTATCTTTGAAAGTTTGGTTAAGATAGGATCAGTAAAAACATAGATACTGGCATCAAAGGGCACCTGCTCCTAAAATTTATACTCCTCAATAAACCTTAACCTGAAGCATTTAAAATTAACCTCCAGCATTTCAAATTCATGGCTCAGACTCAACATCCTAGCTGAGGAAATAGCATAACCTTCCCCTGATATTGTCTCTGTGAGCTAAACAATAAGTGAAACAACATACCACGAGTACCCAGTGTGATCCTCTCAGGTGACACACTCCTAGAACAGTGTCATAATATGTCAAGACATGCTAAAACAAGAAAGTTAAATAAATTATTGAAGCAAATTTGCCTAATAAATTACATCTTATATTCAATTCATGCACTTTTCAAATTATGTCTTTTAACTTCAAATATTTATATCCTCTGACTATTTTCCTATTCATCCTTACCTTAAGTGTTAAGTTAACTGTTTATTATATACATGGAGTTCAAAGGTTTTATCATTTTGTAAATCGTAACTTTTGTGAAAGACATCAAAGAGGTGTAGCACACTTAACACGAGGGTCAATCAAAAAATACAAAGAGAATGTGGCTGTTTATCATATATTTTTCAGTAAAGTCATTTTAACTTTCAGATTAATTTATGCAATAATACTAATTTCATTGATATAAAATGTTTCGTTCCATTTGATGCAAATGTATTTTTGATACCCGATTTTAAATTCAACATGTTTTGTCACCACGGAGCATGGTAACATTGGAAACATAACGTGAAGATGACGCATGCACAGTTAGTTAATAGAATTATCAATCTTTATATCACCCTGAGTCTTTTGTGCTCTTCACCATACAATTTAAATCTGCGATATTTCACTTGACATCTAATTTGTTCACATTTTATCAAAATCATAAGTGAATCCCTCAAAGTTTTCTTATTTTTGACTGCATGTCTCTTCGTTTACAGTAAGGAAATCCCTGAATGTCTGATGACGTTGTTCATTTTTTAATCAGATATTCTACTTTCTTTCTTACTGTTTGAGGTTCAAAATACATTTACCACAACCCCACAAAATGTGTTAAACACAAATGTGCAAATAATTTTTACTTATTCCACCATTGAGCATTTTCACAGTTTTTATCGGCTTTTTACAGAGTTAGATACATACTGCTCATACTTTTCGTTGTGCCGTGACGTCCGGCAACATCAATGTTTTTAGTCAATTTTAAAGAGGACTATATGTCTTTCATTGCCGATATCTGTTCAACAAATCTATATATCCCGTCATTATTTGGTACATAGAATATCATGACAATTTTTGATTCTAGGTTTCAATACTAGTTAGTTTTAAGCCCAATCTATAAGTACTCGCGTAATATAAGGAATTTACAGTATATTATTTCATTTCAAACTATTCAAACTATATTTGATAAATTATGTCTTGATACATTTTGTACCAAAATCAAAGACCACAAAAACGCTTAATGGGTTAATCTAATAATCGGTTAAACTGATTATTTTTCTCTGACAAATTGACGATCAGATTAAGCGGAATCCTCTGTAATTTAAAGCTTAACACTCAAATATGGTTAGTAAATAAAAATCACAAACAATTAAACAGAAGAGACATGCACTAAAACAAAGAGGAAATTTTATTTTTCAAAATGAATCATATATATACCTAGTACAGTAAAACTCGGTTATAGCGAAGTCATAGGGACCGATGGATTTACTTCGTTATACCCGTAATTCGCTATATCCGTATAACGAATTCGTAATAGTAACTATAGCAAATTCACTATATACATGTATTCTTATACCAGACTATAATTTTTGCTATTTGAGGCTTAGAATAAAAATACATTACTTTGATACCTTTCATAATTGGATTGTAAGTCGAAAAAATTGTATGAAAATAAATCTTTCAAACTATTATGTTAAAGGGTAGTGCAAACTTTTTTAAACTGTAAAGAAATTCGTTATAAAAGTGTTAAATTTCGTTATAATTCACCTCTTCGGGACTCAAAATCAGTTCGCTATATCCGTAAATTTGTTATATCCGAATTCGTTATATCCGTAAAAATTTGCAAAGATTTGTGAAGAATTTTACCGGGGACTCAAAAAGACTTCGCTATATCCGAGAATTCGCTATATCTGATTTTGTACTAAACGAGTTTTACTGTATATATTTCTGTCAACGATATTAAACTCTGTTTAAACTGACTAAACTCGAGAAAATGCTGAGCATCTCAACAAAACATCTTGCATTATAAATCAACCATTACGCAAAAGATCATACCAAATTACTAATAGAATGAATTGTATTTTAGTACTTTGTTAATACATATACATCAGATTTTGCTTATTTGCGCAGGTAAGCAGTGAGTCAACTGTCTGGTTTACCAAAGTCTATGTTTGA